CTTTGAATTATTAATCAAATATCCAAGAAGCCTGGGTCCATATTTAAATAGAGGAGTTTTTTTTTTTTTTGCGTAAGAGAAAGATGGTCCCCGTTGTGCATTTTGCCACCATGAATTATCGTTCTAAATATTTCATTATGTATTTTACTTTATTTTATTTTATTTATTTATTTTTATTGTATTTATTCTATTAAAACTATTATTATTATTATTATTAATTTTTTTATTTTATTTATTTTTATTTATTTTTTAAAAAAATTTCAGGATTATTACACATCTGGCCTCTGAGACACGAACCTTTTAACCACAGGCTTCCTATCTTCACCTAGAATTTTATCACATCACTCTAGATAGCCGCATCCAGTCTCATTCTAATGGTTGTCATGATAAGATAAATGTGTGTTAGATATATGCTTACAAATTAACACCAAAATGCTTCTACATTATGTTAATGAATGAATAATACATACCTTCCAATTAGAGCATTTATAAAAATGTCTATTGTAGTTACCGTGTGTCTTTGATATAAACACACACATCCGACTATATCATGGTTTACGTTTACAAATCCTTGGAGGGAATTGGTCATTGAGATCCGTTCTATAAAGAAGTCACAACGAATATATTAAAAACTTCATCACTCTATCGCATCCATGAATTGCATCAGCCATTAAAGTGAAAAGAGTTATTTTGAAACTCAAAAGTTTGGAACAAATACATAGAGAGAGAGTACCTATACACAGAGAGAATACCTACAACAGATTTATGATATAAACTCATTTTAGCTGGTCAAATGCATAGCGAGAGAGAATACCTATAAATGAGTTTACACTGAAATAGAAAATACAATTTATTTCAATTTTAATAATACCATTCATATTTTATCTCAACCTATAGAAACATATGCAAAAATTGCAACATATGGATATCACAGATCTGTGATACAAACTCAATACAGCAGAAGCAAACAACCCCAAGGTTTTTGAAGCATATCAACATATGGATATTATAGATTTGGATATTTACTTCTTTGAAGCATATCAATTTTTTGCTGATTGTGTTAATATGTGCAAGGCTTTTGCAAAAAAAATATTATGATTATGTTTTGAAGATTTTTTGTTTTGCAGTTCAACAATTGTAGCTACATTCCACTGATATTGACAAATATGTAGGCAACGTTTGATCCATTTATCCTTTTTCTTACATTCATATGAAGTGTTGTTGCTTAATTCTTTGATGCTCTACTGTTGTTTTTTAAGTAATGGGCTATTTTCTTAGTGGAACGTGTTAATTTTACAGGAACCTAAAATCAGAAGCAATGCTTGGTGCATTAGTCCTAAAAGAAGAGTTCTGGTTGTGTAAGGTTTTTAATTGATAAATAAGTTTAATTGAATTTGATTAACGAAACATTCTAAATGAATTTTGTTGTTTTCCAAAACAGATGATCCAAACAAAGCCTTGACCAGGAATGTCACTGTAGAAACTTCGTACTAACTTTTGTGCTATATAAACTCATATGCAAACAAAAACATTACAGAAGAACCAAACAAGAAGAATGGTTCCTATAGTAGCATAAAATCCCACAACCCAAAGCATTTGATTAATGAAACACCCTAAGGGAACTTTATTTTCCAAAACAGATGATCCAAACAAGGGCTTGACCAGGAATGTCATTGTAGAAACTTCATACTAAGCTTTGTGCTATATAAAACTCATATGCAAACAAAGAAATTACAGAACCAAACAGGAAGAATAGCTCCTGTAGTAGTATAAAATCCCACAGCCCAAAGCCTATATACACCAAAATTCACCAACATATCCACTATACTACTTCAAGCATTGAAATTCACCAACATATCCACCATTCTACTTCAGGCACCAAAATTCACTAACATATCCACCATACTACTTCAAATACATAGAAAGAGAGAGAGAGTACCTACCCGAGATGGTGCTCGAGCGGCAAAGAGAGCCAGTGAGCGGCTTGTGGGTTCAAGCAGGGGAATGGCCTTTGGACAGTGGAGGTGGGGGGCCAATGGGGTTTTCTAAACGATTAGGGGAAAGAGAGAGACAGGGAGTAAGAGGCAGAGAGAGTGCACGAGCAGTCTATGGGTTTGAGTAGGGAATGGCTTGGCACAGGGATGACGAAGAAAACCACGGAGGAGAGAGAAAGAAAATGCCCTGAGCTTAGAAGAGAGAGAGAATAGCATTTTTTTATCCCTGTGTCAGCCGATCATTACTCACGTCAGTACCTATGTGTCAGCGGCGACTTAAAAATTCATTTTTTGAATGAAATTTGGCTAGAGCGGGCTAAGCCATCGTGACCGTCAACTTGAAAGCTTTTTATCATAACCATTGGGCGCATAAGAATTGGGTGGGTGAGCGGGCGAAGCTCATCTTTTCCCTTTTATATATATATATATATATATATATATATATATGGAAAATCTTCCTATTAGCCCAAAGGCTAACATAAAGATATGAGTCTAATGGCCCAGATTGAATCTGAGCCCATTTGACGGTCATGATCTCATTTTGTGTTTGAATTTTATTTTATTTTCTACAAATCCAAATCACTTGACATTTTAGGCATGTGTTCTTCTCATCAAACAGTACCTAATAAAAATATATAAAATTAATAATCTGTAAAAAATAAATTGACCAAAATACCTCCGAAATTGTTTAGGGGTATTTTGATCAATTTTTTTCATGTAAAATATTTTTTTGATGGAAAAAGATGGGATTAGCCCACTAGCTCATATGATCATATGAGTTCAACGGCTTTGATTGAATCTGTGATGATCTGACGATCACCAATATCTGGTAGTGTTTGAATTTTTTTTTTTCTACAAATCCAAATCAC